ACTGGTATAATGAAAGATACATTGATCAATGGAACAGAATTGAGAATCCAGAAATTAACCCAACCACATACAGCCAAATGATTTTCAACAAAGTGCCTAGGCATATTGCATGGGGAAGAGACAGTCTCTTTAACAAATGGTGCTGGCAGAACTGGAAAGCGATATGTAAAAGATTGAAACAAGACCTTTGCCTCATATCTTATACAAAATTAAATCAACATGAATTAAAGATCTAAATGTGAATCCCAAAATTATGAAGATCATCAATGAAAAAAATACGGACAAATGTGAATGCGCTAATTCAGGGCATATACAGACCACCACACATTTTGAAAAGTGCACAAACAAAAATAGACAAAATACATGATTGGGACATACTAAAAATTAAAAACTTATGTGAATCAAAAGACTTCACCAAAAAAGTAAAAAGGGAACCCACAGACTGGGAAAAAGTCTTTTGCAATGACACATCAGATAAAGGACTCATTTCTAAAATATACAGGAAAACTACAACACATCTACAAAAATAAGACAAATAACCCAATTAAGAAATGGGCACAGGACATGAACAGGCACTTCACCAAGGAAGAGATCCGGGCAGTCAACAAACATATGAAGAAATGTTCACGATCACTAGCCATTAGAGAGATGTAAATCAAAACAACAATGAGATATCATCTCACACCAGCAATAACTGCAAAGATAAAAAATGTAGAGGACAATAAATCAATAAATGCTGGTGGGGATGTGGAGAGACTGGGACACTCCTGCATCACTGGTGGGACTGCAAAATGGTCCAACCTCTTTGGAAAGTAATATGGCACTTCCTCAGAAGGTTGGAAATAGAAATACCTTATGATCCAGTAATTCCTTTACTTGGTATTTACCCACAAGAAATACGAGCCATAACATAAATATATGCACACCAATGTTCATAGCAGCACTATTTACAATAACAAAAAGATGGAGACAGCCTACATGCCCATCAACTGAAGAAGGGATAAACAAACTATGGTACATACACACAATGGAATATTATGCTATCTAGAAGAATAACAAGGAAGCTGCAAGCCACTGCATAACATGGATGAACCTTGAGGACATTATGTTGAGTGAAATTAGTCAGTCACAAAAGGAGAAATACTGCAAAAGACTAAGAAAAAGAACCCATACTAAAGGGGGGTGGGGGGGATTTTTTGCTGGTTGCTGGCATGTGGGGGTGGTGTTAAGGGAGGGACAGAAAGGTAGAGCACAGGGCAGGGAATAAACAAAAGATAGTTTGGGTGCTGGGGAGGGTGGCAATATACAAAAAGGTAGAGGGGAATAGAAGAACAAAGTAGATGGGAGAACAAGTAGGCAGGTTTGCATGGGCTAAGTGGGACAGAGGTAAATAACGATGTATACACAACCTTGGAACAACAGGGCTCTGGGATACAGGGATTGAGACATGGTTGGAATGGGGAAAAGAGGGGAAATAATGTTAAGATGCTTGGCTGTCTTTTGAATCTTGGATTTCCTTGCATTACATTATAAAATAGACACTGGAAGGGGAGAGAAAGGAATAGACAGAAATATCACCATAGAAAGCTTGTAAGTCCGTCTTCTGCTTATAACTGATTGGAATACCTAAAATGGGGCTATAATGTGCCTAGTGAAGGAGGCTACCTCCGGAGCTTTTGCATTACATAAGACTATAGGTGGAATCCTGAACAGCATACAGAATCTTCAGAGGTGGGAAATTTCCTCTTGAAAGGACGAGCAGACCAGCCTGGAGCGGCTAGAAGAACAGAAGATACTTCTTGAAAGGAAGACTGACAGGAAAAATACAAAACAATAGAGACAGACCAACTGATTACTACAAGAACAAGTAAGTTGCTTGCCCAGGAGACATCAAGGCAAGGGGTCAGGTCCCCTCAGAATAAACCCCCTTCCAAGACTAAGACGCTCTGATTGGTGACCACGTTCATCACCGATAAGGGGAAGTCAGGGAAAAACAGCTATGAAGCTGTGAGCTAAGTCCTACAATGTTCAGTAGACTCCTGTGAACCCGGGTTGAGACCTGGTTGGCCAGCGGTGTGGCAAGACCTGGGGACTCTTGGGTCCAGAGTCAGTAACATAGCCACAGAGGACTGGAGTGGATAGTGAAGCATCCAGCTGATAAGAAGAGAGGGCATATCCACAAGAGCACCCACACTTGCGGATAATACCCACTTGACCTAGCTTCAATGACTGGATGATCAGAGCTCAACTAGGAGAAGAAAGAAGAGGAAAAAAAGAGTAATCTGATACAGTTTGATAAACTTGACCTACACCTATGGATGCAGTAGCTCAAAAGAGGGAACAAATCTTTAAAGCAAGGATTATTCCCAACCCCTCCATACACAGAGAAGACAGGGATGGGCAATTTGGACATTGGCTACCCAAAATGGGGTGGGGGGGGGTGGCTACAAAGGCAAGAAGTGACTGGCTTACAAGCTTTCAAGAGGGAACCTAGAGACAGAGGGCGTGGAGGAAGGTAGAATCTCCACTGAGTAGTATCCAATCTGTCTAGGCAGGACTGATGAAAGGAAATGCGGATAGGGGTCTTGTGATACAATGGTGAATAATTGTTATCAGAACTGATTGTGAGGGTTGTAAATGTAAAGGTAGACATTTTGTGGCAAGGAGGGGAGTTATTAACTTTGCAGTCTAGGAGCAGAAGTCCCTGGAATTATGAAGGGAGAAGAGCAGAGAGCAGGACCCTACCCAGAGAAGCAGTGATCCCTGAGATGGAGGCAGAGACGATGACGTGGAGAGATGGAGCATCTGGGAACTCTGGACCCAGAGAGGGAGAGGGGCTGTGTGTTGATGACCGGGGGTGGGGGGGTGCGGCAGGGGGTTTGCAGGCTTGTAGGATGTACCCTTTGGTTGGTTGGTGATGTATGGAGGGGATTGCAACCATGGCAGTGAAACAATATACAGTAGGATGAATGTACAACTAATGTTCTCCCATGTAAACTATCCCATAATTCAAAATAAAGCTTAAAAAAAAAAAACCAGAATATTGTTTGCTAGCTCTCCAGAAGCTGAGCTGCCTAGGTTGGAAGACACTCAAAATACACAGTAGCAGCAACAATGGACTCAAACGGGTCATTGATGGTGAAGATGGCTCAGGACAGGCTAGCATTTTGTTCTGTTGTACATGGGCTGCCATGACGCAAGATTTGACTCAACAGCAACTCACAGCAATAAAGATTAATGGATCTGATTGATGTGTCTCCTCCTACAAGTAAAATCCATGTTTCTTGGGTTGGAATTCAAAAGTCTTTCACAGAGAGGCACCTAACCTGTCCATCTCTCTCCACTCCCTATCACAGGTGTTTGCACAGAGAAACAGCCAGCATTCCTTTGGGAAGTTGAGTAAATGTTCCTGGAAGTGGCAACATTTGGAGGATGGTGAGGACTCTGACTAGTTTAGAAGGGCCACCAACCTTGTGGTTCACACTAACCATGCAGTATAGTGCTCATCTTACAGGGCCACACCAGGACTCCTGTGATGGGGAGCAGAATCAAGTGGTCTGGAATATACATTCTTCACAATGTTATCCTAAGTGTATCATGATCTATACAGTTCAAAGTCTTTGCATCTTCAGTAAAGCACATGTAAACATCTTTCTGGTATTCTCTGCTTTCAGCCAAGATACATCTGATGACAGCACTGATATCCTTCATTCTAAGTCCTCATCTGAGTCTGCTTTAATTTCTGACATTACTCTGTTGGAGTACTGTTACAGCTGTTTTTGAATTATCTTCAGCAAAATTTTACTTGCATGTGATATTAATGATACTGTTTGATGATTTACAAATTCTGTTGGAATGGGTACAAATATGGATATCTTCCAGTTGGTTGGCCAGGTAGCTGTATTTCATATTTCTTGGTATAGATGAGTGCCTTCCAACCTGAGGGGGCTCATCTTCTGGCACTATATCTGACAACATTCTGGTGTTATTAATAATGTTTTCATCTTCCAGCAGTATATCTGACAGTGTTCCACTATTTTGTTGTTGTTATTAAGTGTTGTCATGTCAGTTCAGACTCATAGAAACCCTGTATTGAGTTTCCAAGGAGTGGCTAGTGGGTTTGAACAGCCGACATTGTGATTCATGGTCTAGTGCTGATTCAACAGTGTCACACCAAGAGTCCACTTCTATTCATAAGGTTTTCAGTGGCTAAACATTCAGAAGTTGTCCACCTCTCCTTCTTCCTAGTCTGTCCTAGTCTGGAAGCTCAACTAATATTTATTAGATTAAGGGTCTATATAAACATTTATAAAATGATATTGAAAAATATTCCTACTGGAATAAGGACAGAAAACAATGATGTTAAATATGTGGCAACAGAATTGCAAAAGAAAAAGTCTTGTCAGTGTGATGAGTTGGTGTGTAGCAGCAATCTGTCTGCTTCTATATCAGTGGAAAGTGATACACAAAATGAACTAGATCCATTAGAGTGAAGACTATTAAAAAACAAACAAACTGAAATGCATCCTAGAAGTCATTGCATCACCTAGTTGGCATTTCCTAAGAATTGTATGTGTTCACCCCTCTCTTTAATAAAGTGACTTTGGGCACAGTGACATGGACAATCATTGGAAGCCAGGTTGTAAGTGTCTACGTGTATGTTCTCTTAAAGACTCTATTTCAATGTAAAATTATATTTTTATTACCATCCTGAAAGGTAAGGGAGGGTCTAGCTTTTAGATAACCAAGACCATTTTTATTAGTAAGAAGCCAAATGGAATGTTGGTACCACTAAGATAAAGGAAAGTGAAGGATGCAAGATGACTGACCTGCCCCATGATGGAAAATGTGCTCTGCTCAGAATTTTCATGGGTGTGCATGGCAGTTAGAGGAGGTGGCCAGGAATGGGTCATGTCCTAATGCGGAAAAACAAATCAACTTTATTTTCAGGTATGTATAAAGTCAAACTGCCTGTTGGCACTAAGTATTTGTTGTTAGCTCTCATGGAGTTGGGGCGCTGACTTCTGGTGTCTCCGTAAACAGTTATGGATTGGATCATTGTGATCCACAGAGCTTTAATTGGCTGAATTTTGCAAATAGATTGTCAGACCTTTCTTCCTAGTCTATGTTAGTGTGGAAACTCCACTGAAACTGGTTTGGCATCACTGGTAGATGGGTGGTGGCATGAGACACACTGACTAGGAATCAAATCTGGATCTCCCACAATGAAGGTGAGAAGTTCACCACCGAATGACCATTGCTTGCATAGACAGAAAAAGCTCACCCTATTGCCATCAAGTCAATTCAACTCATGCCGACCCCGTGTTCTACAGAGAAGAACTGTATTATTCTGTAGGGTTTTCATGACTATAACTTTTTGGAAGCAAAGTATCAGGCCTTTCCTCTGAGGTGCCTCTGGATGGTTTTCAACCACCAACTTCCTGGTTAGTTGTCGTTGTTAAATGCTGTCGAGTTGATTCTGACCCATAGCGAGTCTGTATTGGGTTTCTGAGGAGCAGCTGGTGAGCTTGAACTGCCGACCTTGTAGTTCAAACGGCTAGCCAGTATTTAATCATTGTGCTACCCTGGGACTTCTTTACCACCTCCATAACCAAAAAGCTCCAAATATGTTGTCATCAAGTTGCTTCCAACTCATAGTGACAGACTAGAACAGCCCAATAAGGTTTCAGAGGTTGTAACTCTTTATGTAGGCAGATTGCCACAACTGTCTCCTGTGGAGTGAGTGGCTGGTGAGTTCCAGCCACCAACCGTCCAGTTAACAGCTTAGAGTTTGAACTGGTGCACCACCAGGGCTCCTCACTGCCTTCACAGTGATGCCGTTGCTAAGTGGATTGAGTTGGTCCTAACTCATAGCGACCCTATATAGGGTTTCTGAGGCTGCAAATATTTACAGGAACAGAAAGTCTCATCTTTCTCCCATGGATCTGCTAGCTCTAGCAAGGGCAACTTTGTTATCACTTTTGTCCTGGATGCTCTGATATGTATCTTCTCTTGAGGCAGTCTTATAATTAGTGCCATGATGAAGCATGTGCATGGCTTTGTCCATGCACAGTGGAGGTAGTCAAGGTGATTCTTTCTCATGTGGAGAGAAGGTTCCTATGTGATCAATCAACAGTGTTGTCTGCCCAACTATATAAAAAAAGGAGATTTAGTTTAAAAATCTTTAAGAAGGAAAAGTCCCTCAGGCTCCTTAAGGCTCCCACTCCTATCAGCTGGTTACCTTCCCTGTTCTTTCAAACATTCAGTCTGAAAAGAGGTGCTGTTCATATCTTGCTGCAGTCTTAGGGCACATGGCCAACATGTTTACCCTAAGATCAAGAATAATTAAATCACATACTCAAAATCCCAGGAGTGGAGGGATGACACATTTTGTGAAGCAGGATGGTACTGGCATGTGTTGGATTCATCAAATATGTCAGTATAGTAACATTAACATCACAGTCGATGTAATGGTGGAAATGGAGGGCTTTGGGAAGTAATGCAGGGGATCTAAGTTTATGAAAGTCTTTTTTATTGAGGCAGTGATGTAAAAGTGTTTTTTTCATCTTTGACGGTTTAGTCATTTAAAAAGTAATATTAATAAGAACTCTCAAGTAGCACATTACATATTTATTTATTTATTCTGTTTTTTGGTCAGTTCAAAAAGAGCTTTTGATATATGAAGAACTATAATGCATGGAGGTACTTCACAGATTCATTCAAGGTGGCACTGCAGATGCAGAATTATTAAATTAGGGTTATGTACCCCAAATGTTTAAAACAATAGGTTTTATGGTTGGTTCTTAATACAGGGTTGTAGTAAGTCAGATGCTCCTAACCTGGGGACTGCCTGTTTTTCTCTGACAAGCACTGAAATAGATTGATTTTTCCTCAAGCTATTTGAAAAGAATACAGTAATTACATTAGAAATGCATGCAAGATTCAGAATGGATGCTTAACCTATTTAAGAGATAAACTATAAGTGTTTCTGAGTTGTGCATTTATATCCAGTTAATGAAACTCATGACAAAGGCTACTTAGGTATTCATCAAAATCAGCCCTAAACCAACAACAGTTTAAAGTGACAACAGTTTAAAGGTGAATTCCAATTACTTGATGTCTTAAAAACACTCAGGGATCTCTTTATTAAAGCACTTAGCAATTTAGAAGGCATTTCTAGACGGAGGCTGCCTTTTCCAAGGTTCATCAGATCACTGAAAATATAAAGTTCCTTCTTAGGCGACCACCACTCATCTGTCAGTTGATCATACTGTGGTGGCTTGCATGTGGCTGTCATTCTGGAAGCAATGCCATGGGTATTTTAAATACCACCAGGATGATCCAGGGTTGAAAGGTTCCAGCAGAGCTTCCAGACAAAGACAGACTAGGAAGAAGGTGAGATAGACTACTTCCGTATATTTACTCACTGGAAACCTTATGAATAGCAGCGGAACACTGTCAACACCAGAATATGTAATACTGAAATATGATAAAGAACACCAAAATATTGTGAGATATAATGCCAGAAGATGAGGCTCTCAGGTTGGAAAGCACTCAAAACATGACTGGGGAAGAGCTACCATTTCAAAATAGAGTTGACTGTGACGACTCGACTGGAATAAAGTCTTTGGCATAGTCATTCGATGAAGGGGCACAATTTAAATTGAAGGGAAACAGATACAAACAGCCATTAATAATTGGAACGTGGAATGTACAAAGTAAAAATCTAGGAAAATCGGAAGTTGTCAAAAATGAAACAGAATGCATAAACATCAATACACTTGGCATTAGTGAGCTGAAATAGATTGGTATGGGATATTTTGAATCTGACAATCACATTGTTTACTATTCACAGAATGACCAATTGAGGAGGCATGGTGTTACTTGCATCATCAAGTACAGTACTGTCTATGATAGGATAGTATCCAAACACCTACATGGAAGACCAGCTAATACCACTTTTATTCAAATTTACACACTAACCACAATGGCAGCGATGATGAAATTGAAGAATTCTACCAACTTCTTCAGTTTCAAATTGATCAAATATGCAATCAAGATGTATTGATGATTATTGGCAATCATAATGGAAAGGTTGGAAACTAAGAGAAGGATCAGTTGTTGGAAAATATGACCTCAGTGATAGAAACAACATTGGAGATTGCACGATAGAATTTTACATGACCGATGATTTCTTCATTGCAAATACCTTTTATAAACAACTTCAAAGATGACTATACACATGAACCTCACAAGATGGAACACACACACACACACAAAAAAAAAAAAAAAAACAGTGGAAAAGCTCCATATCATCAGCCAAAACAAGGCCAGGGGCACACTGTGGAACAGACCATCAATTGCTCATATGTAGCTTCAGGCTGAAGCTGAAGAAAATACAAGAGTCCAAATGAGCCCAAATATGACCTTGAACACATCCCATCTGAATTTAGAGATAATTTGAAGAACAGATTTGATGCATTAAACACGAAAGACAAAAGATCTCAAGAGTTATGGGAAGAAAAAGGAAAGAATACACTCACTGTATCAAAAAGAAATGGTTGATGTTCAACCATTTCAAGAGGTAGCATATGATCAAGAGCCACTGATACTGAAGGAAGAAGTCCAAGGTGCATTGAAGACACTGGCAAAGAACAAGGTTCTGGGAATTCATGGATTCCAAATTGAATGAAATCTTTGAACAAACTGACAAAGCCCTGGAGGCACTCACTTATCTATGCTATGAAATTTGGAAGACAACGACCTGGTCAACTGACTGGAAGAGATCCTTATCTGTGCCCATTCCAAAGAGAGGTGACCCAACAGAATGCTAAAATCATAGGAAAATATCATTACTATCTCATCCAAGCAAAATTTTGCTAAAGATAATTTTTAAAAAGTGCCATACATTGACAGAGAACTTCCAGGGATTCAAGTCGGATTCAGAAGAGGATGTGAAGTGAAGGATATTATTGCTGAGGTGAGATAGATCTTGGATGAAAGCAGAAAATACCAGAAAAATGTTTACCTGTGCTTCATTGACTACACAAATGCTTTCAATTGTGTGGATCATGACAAGCTATTGACTGCATTGGGTAGAATGAGTTTTCCAGAATACTTAATTATGCTCATGAAGAACCTGTACATAGACCAACAGGCAGTTGTTCAAACCAAACAAGGGAACACTGAATGGTTTAAAATTGGCAAAGGTGTATGCCAGGTTGTAGTCTTTCACCATACTTAATCTGTACACTGAGCACATAACCGTGAAGCTGGATTATATGAAGAAAAATGTGGCATCAGGATTGGAGGAAGACACACTAACAACCTGCAATGTGCAGATGATACAAACTTGCTTGCTGAAAGCTATGAGGACTTAAAACACTTACTGATGAAAATCAAAGACTGAAGCCTTCCATATGTATTGCACCGAAACATAAAGAGAACAAAAACCCTCACAAATGAACCAACATGATCAATGGAGAAAAGACTGAAGTTGTCAAAGGTTTCATTTTGCAAGGATCCACTATCTACACTGATGGAAGCAGCAGTCGAGAAGTCGAATGACATATTGCATTGGGCAATTCTGCTACACAAAACCTCTCTAGTGTGTTTAAGAACAGAGATGTCAGTTTGATGACTTAGGTATGGCTAAACCAATAAACTCACATGTATGTGAAAGTTGGACAGTGACTAAAGAAGATTATAGAATCGATGCATTTGAGCTATGGTGTTGGAGGAGAATATTGAAAGTACCATGAATTGTCAGAAGAACAAACAAATCTGTGTTGGAAGAGATACAGGCAGAATGCCTTTAGAAGCCAGGATGGCCACAGTTTGTCTTTCATACTTCAGACATGTTATCAGGAGGGAGCATTTCCTGGAGAAGAACATTATGCTTGGTAAAGTAGAGGGT